AAGTTAATCAATTTTAATGCTGGCAAAAATATATATAACCTGAGTAATGATTATGCTTAATTACAATGTGTGATTTAAATAATGTTCTATGATAATTAATGTATTTTTAAATGTAAGATGGTGATTTAGGAAGAAAAGAGTCAAAGTGTGTCTTAAGATGAAGGAAGGGTGTGTGTGTGTAATTTTAGATGGTGGGAAGTACAGGGCACATTCCTGTGATACAGAAAAAGCAGAAGTGTGGGTTTGACTCACCACAYAAAAAGTCCCTAGCAGTCCTGTTGTCAAGAGTCAGCAGGATTACTTCATTCTGGTAAAGTATAGAAAAACCCATGGTGGGAAGTCCCCACCTTACCACAGGAGGTAAGGAGGGGGTGAGCAGACCCAAAGAAGAGTATAAAAAAGGAGCAGTTTCAGCAGTGAGTGTTTTCGTGCCCACGACTGGTGAAGAGGCAGCAAGAAGGCTAGGACAGCCTGAGCAGAGGAGCAAGCAGATCCGAAGAACATCTCATTCTGGGACGAGCTGACAAACTTCTCTCCAGCGAGTCCAAGGACCGAAGACCGGATTGAACCCAGCCCAACTCTGAGAAGTTCTTTTCAGACAAAAGTCTGATGCACCCCATGGAGGTAAAGCCAACTGCTCCAATCTGTCCTGCCATCTCCAAATTAGCAGAAAATGCCACACCACCTAATCAGAAAGATAGGTCAGCATATTAGAGCATTTTATTTTTATCAACATAAATTATTAATCAATATTCTTAATCTGTATAATCAAATGTGGCTTTTCTTGCAAACTCCTATGAAACTGCTTACAGCATCATATAGACAAATTCACGACTGGACATTGATTTTTACTGTTGTCCTTTAAAGTTTTTCTCTGATTACATGAGTTTTGTTACTARAGAGCAACAAGGTAATAACATATTAAAGAGTATGGTTACTTTGAAGCCAAGAGGTAATAATATGAGGTCTTAAATCAATAATACGTTCATTTTGAATGGTTATTAACCTGGGGAGATAGGATAACTCCCCTTTAACAGTTCCCTTGAGACCTATTGTCCAGGTCACTTAAATGTCATCTCGGTAACAATAAGAAGTGCACATCCTACGATGGATCGGCTACCAGTGAACGGTGGTGAGCAGTACCTGGAGGCGTCCTGAGCTACTACGCCGACCCAGGGGCCGGGGTTTGAGAAGGGAGCGACCACCGGAGGGAGGGTAGCTGGAGGCCGAGCTAAAGGCTCCCGCCCGATGACTCCCGGAGGAGACACGTCAGACTCAGCCARCCAGGTGGCTGTAAGTCTGGTCCATCACCTCCAAACCAAGAGGGAGACATCTTCTCCTCTCCAAGACCCATCAGTGTCCTAGTGGGTAAACTGGGGGAGGAGCCACACAGGATTTCATGGCGCCCAATGTGGGGCGTGGCCTAAACTAGGACCGCCCCCTGAGAGAAGGGTTGGACCACAGGAGTGGCCCAGCTTGTCTACAAGAGCAGAAATTTAGAATTGACTGCTCAGTGTGCTAAAAGAGAGCCAACAGCACACATCCTTCACAACACACCACTCAAGGAGTGGAAGAAGGAGAGGACCCTGCAGCAGGAGCTGCTGGAATGGACACAGCAAGCTCAGGGTAAGTAGCTACAATCGTCAAGACCCCATCCCGTTCCTGTAATGCGTGCAGGAGGCTTTGAGGATCGACAACTCAAATCAAGATAAAGAAGCACAATGGCTGAAGCCATATCAGTGAAAGAGGAGAAAGGGGGGACATCACAAGAAACGGCCCCCAACCCAGAGCCCAGACCACCCCCGCCATGCATAGTTATGCTCTATGGCAGGGGGACCAAAGAGTGGCACCCCACCGCTAAGGCGCTCTTCATGTCACACTCCACAAAGACAGACCCAGTACAAGCCCTGGCAGAACTGGAAGACCACATGACCAAAAACACATTCTTCTTTGGGACCACCTTGGTGGATGGGGCCATGCTAGCCATGCTGCAGCATCCACCAGAGACCAAAAAGAAGGTTCAGAAGGCAGAATGGGTCAGATGGTGGCTGACAACAGTGAGAGGATGGAAAACCGATGTGGTGAGGCTGGTAAGTCTGTCAGCAGAGTATGACCCCCTAGTAAGGTTGGTTGCCAGGGAACAGTTCATCAACTGCGGGGTGGCCGATCCAGCATCCAAAACTGAGAAGAAATATGTCTGGAGCAGCCTCTGTATGAACTCAGGTTATGGAAAAACATGTTGAAGTACAAGGTCAAAAGTGAGTATGAGGACAAAACCAGTGTGGTCGGAGATCCCGACACCAACACTGACCACGAAGAATCAGGTACGGAGACTCATGATGAGGATGAGGAAGATGAAGGAAAGAAAGATGATGAAGATTCTTTTGAAGGGACAAAAGATGATGATGATGATGATCGATTCCACTTTCACAGAGAGATAGGAGAGCTGACTCAGGCTTTGCAAGATATAAAAACGTACCTGGGTCAAACCCCCAAGTCAGAACCAAAAAACGATGGAAACCAGAACACTGTGAGGGCTTTGACTGAGCAGTTTGAGAACACCACCCTCAATAAAGATGACAAGAAACATCGGAAATGTGACCGCAAACGGTGTCACATAGATCCAGGGATACCGGGGCGAGGCCCGTTAGGCCCTCTCTCTGAAGAGGCCCTGAAGATTCGAATGCAGAATGGTATAGTCCTGCCACACAGGATTTCAGGCACTGTCATGTTCTCATTAGCACACTTTTTAGTCACAGAATTTCCCTGAAAGTTTCATCAAAATCCGAGGTGGTTATTACTTATTTATTTTCATATTTCCATGCAAATGATTCCATTCCGGTTACGGAGTTGAGCCCCCCCCCCCCCCCCACCACATTTTGAAAGAGAATTAAACATCTGAGAACAGCTGGAGAAGACCTCCGAGCGGCTTGCTGTCGAGAAATGTCACCGTGTGGTGAGCTTCCTCTGCAGAATCAGATGGGAACCACGGTCCCACTCCTACTCTGAAATGTTTCAAACTTTATTCATTTGTTTCTGTGGTGTAATAAACGTTTTTGAAAGAGTAATAAACATTTCCTAACAGTTCAACATAAATCTATTCAGTACTTTTGTGATATAACCCTGAGAAGGCAGCTGGCTAACTTTAGCAAAACTTCCCCATTGTCAGGGAAACTGTAAACATCCGGTCACCATGGGCAGAAAGGCTCCGAGCGGCTTCCTGTGATGATCTGACCAGAGCTGAAACAGCCTTTATGAGACCCGGTACCAAAACTGCCTGATAGAGAGGCAAAAACTGCACAACATACTCAAATTCCAACGTTTTCTGTGCAGAGCTTTGACTTTAGTGAACAAAAAATGTTCCTTAAGCACTTTCTGGGCTGATGAACAACAGTTCACACAAACACCCTCCAGATGTCAATAATCCATGGGCACAAATTGCAGAAACCGTGAGCACGGATTATTAAACTGTGCTCACGGTTTAGTAATCCGTGCGCTCAGTTTAGTAATCTGTGCGCACGGATTTCCAGCGGCTGCTTTATTTTATTTTTTCTCACACTGACCCCTCACGGACTCCGTAATTTTCAGTATGTTTCAGTATATTTTAATCTAATGTTTTTGGAGGGATTGTGATTATATTCTATGTCTACATTGTCACCCATGTAAGAATACGTGGAATAACATTCCACTGCTCACATTAGTTTGCCCCACACATAGTTTTGTACTCGATTACTACTTTTACTACTATTAGCTATTTTGTTTTATTACTCTTAGGAAATACTAACAACAGTGTAGAGACACATTCTGCTGTTTAAACATGAATATATATGTAAAAATACGTTAAACTCTAACTGTCCCCATTTCTTCAAGACGTCTTCATAACATTTAGCTATTTTTTGTCTCCGAGCTGGAAAAGTCCCCAGATTTAGTGTCAGAAATCTGGTCACCCTACTTTCACCATGCTAACTATCTGTATGCTCACACTTTTACCATGCTAATAATCTGTACGCTCACATTTTAACTATGCTAACAACCAGTACGCTCACACTTTCACCAAGAAAGTATTCTGCATGCTCATACTTTCACAATGCTAACAATCTGTACGCTCACATTTTAACTATGCTAACAACCAGTACACTCACACTTTCACCATGCCGACAATCTGTATGCTCACACTTTTACCACGTGAACAATCTATACTTTCACACTTTTAATATGTTAACAATCTGTACGCTCACACTTTCACCATGTTGACAATCTGTACCCTCACATTTTCATTTTATTAACAATGGACCTCATGCAAGAACCATTTGTGTGAACAGATTTGTTCTTAAGTTGTGTGTACAAGTGATTTAGGAGAACTTGTCGCATTCACCAATTTTGTCATATTGTAAGATTTTTTCAGATATGAACAAAATTCACAAGTGATCCATTCCTGCCTTTACATGCAGTCTTCTGTTATCCAGACTGTTTTCTTTACTAATAACTTTATATTTCCATAGTTTGATGATATATTGTGTTGAAAATGAATTACACTCCATAATTACAGTATGTTGACAATAAATGAGCCCGACTTACTAATGACAATGCGGACCAAGCTCTGACACTGGTTGTACAGAGACCTGACAGCCCGTATCAAAGTATGGGGTACATTTAAAATTGTAATTCTTCTTTTTACTTTGTGCTACCATTTTCATGAATGGACACTTCCTGGTAGGGAAGGAAGCATAGCCTTATGGTAATATCCATCCATCCATCCATCCATTTTCTTCCACCTATCCGGGGTCGGGTCACGGGGGCAGCAGCAGAAGGGAGGCCCAGACCTCCCTCTCCCCAGCCACTTCTTCCAGCTTCTCCTGGGGAACTCCAAGGCGTTCCCAGGCCAGCCGAGAGACATAGTCCCTCCAGCGTGTCCTGGGTCTTCCTTGGGGCCTCCTCCCGATGGGACATGCCCGGAATACCTCACCAGGGAGACGTCCAGGAGGCATCCTTACCAGATGCCTGAGCCACCTCAACTGGCTCCTCTCGACGTGGAGGAGCAGCGGCTCTACTCTGAGTCCCTCCCGGATGACCGAGCTTCTCACCCTATCTCTAAGGGAGAGCCCAGCCACCCTGCGGAGGAAACCCATTTCGGCCGCTTGTATCCGGGACCTCGTTCTTTCGTTCATGACCCAAAGCTCATGACCATAGATGAGGGTAGGAACGTAGATCGACCGGTAAATCGAGAGCTTCGCTTTCTGACTCAGCTCTGTCTTCACCACGACGGACCGGTACAGCGCCCACTTCACAGCAGACGCTGCGCCAATCCGCCTGTCGATCTCCCGCTCCGTTCTTCCCCCATTCGTGAACAAGATCCCCAGATACTTAAACTCCTCCACTTGAGGCAGGACSWCCTCCCRGACCCGGAGAAGGCACRCTACCCTTTTCCAGCTCAAGATCATGGCCTCGGATTTGGAGGCACTGAGCCTCATCCCGGCCGCTTCACACTCGGCCGCAAACCGCTCCAGCGAGAGCTGCAGWTCTCGTTCCGATGAAGCCAAAAGGACCACATCATCCGCAAAAAGCAGAGATGCGATCCTAAGGCCACCAAAACGGATCCCCTCAACACCTCGGCTGRGCCTAGAAATTCTGTCCATGAAAGTAACGAACAGAATCTGTGACAAAGGGCAGCCTTGGCGGAGTCCAACTCTCACCGGAAATGAGCCCGACTTACTGCCAGCAATGCAGACCAGACTCTGACACCGGTCGTACAAGGACCTAATAGCCCATATCAAATGGCCCGGCACCCCATACTCCCGGAGAACCCCCCACAAGCACCCCCTTGGGACATGGTCGAACGCCTTCTCCAAGTCCACAAAACACATGTAGACCTGTTGGGCGAACTCCCATGCATGCACCAGGACCCTGCTGAGGGTGTAGAGCTGGTCCAGTGTTCCACGACCAGGACAAAAATCACACTTATGGTAATATCGGGGTGGTAATTATGTTAATTTCTTCTCCTCGTGCACAAGCACCTGAAAATGTACAGGTGGCATTCATCATGTCTATGCTGCTCATTTACACCCTTTTCTTGTAGATAGAAGCGTTTACTGAATCTGACGTGGCATGTTTGAATGCCTTTGGTATGAAAAAAGAGAAATTTAGGGTAAAAATACAAAAAAGTTCTTACATGAGACCCTATCTGTATGCCCACACTTTCACCATGCTCAGCTTAATATTTTTCTATATTTTTTACATGTTTTTTCCACATCAAACCATTTATAATATAGCATTGTTGGGGATATTTTAGCCATTTTTACATCAAAATGTTTATCTCAGTCATGAGATACTGTAGGTGCTGTGATCACTGTTTCTATAGCTTTATACTTTTAGCTAGAAACCAGGGTTTCGATTTTTTTTATTATTATGTTCATTTCTCTGTTATGGAGGTGGTTAAAAAGCTCCTTGTTGGCAAGTTGTCGGGGGTAGATGTAACTCACCCGGAGTTCCTTAAAGCTCTGGATGTTGTGYGGTTGTACGCGACTCTACAATGTTGCATGGACATCAAGGGCAGTTCCCCTTGATTTGCAGACTAGGGTGGCCCCCCTATTCAAAAAGGGGGACCACAGAGTGTCTTCCAGCTACAGGGGGATCACTCCTCTGAGCCTCCCTGGCAAGGATCCAGAAGAGGGGGGTCTGTCAGAGAGTCGAATGCCAGATTCGGGAAGAGCAGTATGTTTTTCCTCTTGGTTGTGGAACACTGGACCAGCTCTACACCCTCAGCAGAGTCCTGGAGGGTGCGTGGGAGTTTGCTCAACCAGTTTTATGTTAATTATATGTTTTGTGGAATTGGAGAAGGCGTTCGACCATGTCCCTCTGGGAGTCCTGTGGAGGGTACTCAGGTAGTATGGGGTACCAAGCTCTTTYATACGGGCTGTTATGTCCCTGTACAACCAGTGTCAGAGCTTGGACCGCATTGCCAGTGCTGACCACTCTGACTCGTTTCCAGTGAGAGTTGAACTTGGCAAGGGTTACCCTTTGTCACAAATTCTGTTCATGACTTTTATGGACAGAATTTCTAGGCGCAGCCAAGGTGCTGAGAGGATCAGTTTTGGTGTCCTTAGGATCGCATCTCTGCTGTTTGCAGATGATGCGGTCCTATTGGCTTCAGCAGGTCGTGATTTCCAGCTCTCACTGGAGTAGTTTGCATCCGAGCGTGAAGCAGCCAGGATGAAAATCGGTGCCTACAAATCCGGGACCAGAAGAAGCTCAGTCATCTGGGAGGGACTCAGAGTAGAGCCACTGCTCCTCCACAGCCAGGGGAAGTGGCTTGGGTTTCTGGTTAGGATGCCTCCTGGATGCCTCCCTGGTGAGGTGTTCCAGGCAAGTCCCACTGAGTGAAGACCCAGAGGAAGACCCAGAACATGCTGGAGGGACTGTTTTCAGCTAGCCTGGAACAGCCTTGGGATTATCCCAGAGGAGCTGGCCCAAGTGGCTGGGGAGAGGGACGTCCGAGTTTCTCTGCTTGGGCTGCAGCCCCCACGACCCTACCCCAGATAACTGGAAGAAGATGGATGGATGTTCCTTTCAGCTATTGTTCTGCATTATTTAGTTGGAGCTTTAGCAGATTTCTACAAAGCTCAGAATTCACCTGAAATTACTGAATTATTTCAGTAGGAGTACTTACTGAGTCTATAGATACTTTTGACTGCTTGATATTTAACTGCAAATCACAAAAATAAAATTTCTGTTATATTTTTTCAGTTTGTGGGACAACATACAGTACATGCGATGTATACAGTACAGGTAGTACATAAAGTACATGCAATAGATACAGTGCATGTAGTACATGCAGTGCATACAGTACATACAACACATACAGCCCATATAGTACAAATAGTACATACAGTACAGACAGTACACCTGACTGTGTTTGCTCTACAGGAAACCTTCAACATGTACTACTACGAGTCAGACAGAGCTGTGGGCTCATCCATTCGGGAGAACCAGTTCATTAAGATCGACACCATAGCAGCTGATGAAAGCTTCACAGGAGTGGACCTGGGGGTCCGCAGACTAAAACTCAACACTGAGGTACGATCTACATCCCTAAATAACATCATAAATGCTGAGTCACACTGCAGGCAGATTTCACTTAAAGCTCTTTAAAGTAACCATCATCAACTTTTAATTCACAGTAGAAGAATCCATGGAGAGGTTCTGCTGCTCTTTTTGTCACTTGGTTTGTTTTGTGTTAATTTCTGTAAATGTGAGAACAAACAGTTATGAGGATTTGGTCTGGGATCTGGGGAAATAAATTGATATTGACACCAGCTTCAGATTGAATTCTGACAGTAAAAACAACAGTGATGGGGTAATGAAACATATTGAGCTTCATGCAAGAACTGTTCATACAAACAAATTTATTCTTAAGTTGTGTGTTTGAGTAATTTAGGAGAACTTTTGGCATTCACCAATTTTGTCGTATTGCAATATTTTTTCAGAAACGAACAAAATTTGCATGTGGTCCAGACCTGTCTATATTTTATGTGCAGTCAGTCTGCTGTTATCCAGACTGATTTTCTTCACTAATAACTTTATATTTCATTAGTTTGAAGGTATTTCGAGTTGAAAATAAATCACACTCCATAATTATGTTGACAATAGGCTATTCTGTTTGAATTGGAATTATAACTTTAGATTCAATAATGTAGACTAATGATATAAATTGGTTAAATTAAATTAAATTGCTATGAAGATCTCAAACTGTAAACCAACCTAAATTATGCATTAATTGAAGTTTCATCTGTCTCGGTATATAATGAAGTCAACGGGAAGTGTACATAATCAACAGCTTTATTCAGTCATACTGTATATTGTTATTTTTTAAATCAAATTTTATTTTGTTGAGATTTATTCAGCACATCAGCTATTTTCTCCAAAGTGCCAGATGTATTTTGGAGACATTTTAAAATGCTTTCTTGATTCTTCAGAACTGCATCTGACACCACTTGCGATGGGCAGGGGAGACGGCAAGGGACTGGCACATCGGTCCAGACTGTGACTCTTCTTCTGAATAAATGAAAATTATTTAACACAGTTGTTTGAACTTAAAATAAAAATATTTGCCCAAAGGAAAACTGGAGCAGAAATAGAGAGAGATGAATATGATTTAGATTTTTATTTATGTAACTGTATACGACCCATGGGAGACACGGCATTAACAGCAGTCTTCATTTCATTACTTGGCTTTAGCAGCTCCTTTAATTCCACAGCTGACGCTGCTAAAAATGACAGATTTTCTTTTCTGGATCTCCGAGAGCAGGACTTCAATCTCCGAACTTAAGTTCTTCATTTTACTTTGTGCTGCCATTTCATGAATGGACACTTCCTGGTATGTGGGACAGGAAACATAACCTTATATGGTAATATTGGGGTAATTATGCCAATGTCTTCTCCTCGTGCACGAGCACCTGAATACGTACATATGGCATAGAAGTGTTTGCTGAATCTGCCGTGACATGTTTGTTTGAGCACTTTGTACAGAATTAAGCAAAGCTGGGTACATACCGGATACGTTTTGAGCAGCTGAAGCAGCCACTTTACATGCAAAGTCTATGGTGGGCGCGCATCTAAGAGCATTTAGCCAGTTTAGGGCGGTGTGCAAGATAGGTGCGGTAGAGCGTTTTCCGTGCATCCGGCGCGTCCAAAGCAGCCACTGCTCGAGTTAAAAAAAAATGAACTTTTGCTGCTCAACGCGCCGTATCAACCAGAGACTCGTTTTTCCACGTGATGGGTTTCCTGAATGTTGCCCACTAACCTGAAACAGACAGACAGGAGCTCTTTAGCTGAAATTGACCATCTGCAGTTAGTGTTCTGGCTGGATATATCAGCACTGATGTGAGTCAGCAGCTTGTTAAACTGACTGCGGTGTTAAACTGGGCTCAGGACCAAAAAAAATGTCAGCTCGCAGCTCCTGGAGTGGTGAAACTAAATGAACAAACTGCCTCTAAATTATCTGGTGAATTAATTCACCAGCGCAACATTTGCTTGCTCTTTAGTAAATAAAGCAAAGCCATTTTTTATTTTATCTTTATTTCACCCGTCATTAAAGACAGACTGGAWAAAACAAGACGCTCCTCCCTCTTCAGATGCGCTTCTAGTCTGGTCCCAGTCTGAACATAAGCGTGTCCAACTGCAGGCATTGGGCGCATTTTTGTTGCTCAAAACGCATTTGGTGTGAACCCGGCTTAAGAGAAATTTAGGTTAAGAATATGAAGAATACAAAGACCCATTGTTTACTGTTGTTATCTTTGGATGAATTAGACTGCAGATGAAAAATACAGGGATTTTATTTATTATTTTGGTATTATAGGTTTGTGTTTGCTTATATCCATTATATCCATTTTTTGTGTTTTCTAATTTCAGTTGGCTGTGGCATTCATCTTGGATTAAGTTGGATCCCAAAGTAAATCAGTTATAGAAGCACACAAATGATTATTTCCTAAATGTTTCATTAAAATCTGACCAGTAGTTTATAAGATATTTTGCTAACAAAAACACAAACACACAGATAGGAACATATAAAACTTTATTGTCTGTCATTGTTGCAGGGGTTATCAAACTCCATTCCTCGAGGACCGCTATCCTGCATGTTTTAGAGATTTTCCTGCTCCAACACACTTGATTTTTATTGCTGGGTGATTAACAGGCTTCTGCCCAATTTGAAGAGTTAATTCAATCACTGAATTAGGTGTGCTGGAGCTGGAAAGCCTCTAAAACATGCAGGATAGTAGCCCTCGAGAACTGGAGTTTGACACCCCTGGTATAGTTTAATAGTTTAAAAAATTACTGTAAATATCTTTTGATGTCTCCATAGTTTCCTTGTTAAAGTAATGTTTTGGACATTTTGAAGTGGGGCATATTGAAATAACTACAAAAAGATACTATCTGTTGTGGGTATGGTAGACAGGACTGATAAACAAAATAAAACTGACTGCAGTTTAAATGTTTAAATATTAATAACAATGATATGTTTTAATTGTGGGTGCCTTTCTTGACACTCAAGGTCACCTTACAAAGTTTAGCATAAAAACAAACACAAAATTAAAATACACAGTAAATTACAACAGTTAAAAGACCGTGTATTTGCAATCACAGTGTGTACCTACTTTAAACAGATTAGTTTTGAGTTTGGATTTGAAATGTGGCAATGACACTGTGTCACTGAGATCCAGAGCCGGGGGCCAGAGTGGCTGAATGCTCTGCTCCCAATAGTAACAAGATGGTTATAACCAGGATTGCACATAAGATTTTGGGTCTGGTTCTCAGGGGAGAACCTAGGGTTGTTGCTTGGTGCTCATATTTTCCTTCACTCATTTAACACATTTATCTAGAGGGGCGTCAGGGCAGGTTTTTTGACTCCTATCAGCTGCAACGTCTCTGGACATCATGCCAAATTAGTCCACCGAGTTTTTATTTTATTTTTTTACTCTACATAATTTTGTAAACTACCCTCTCGGGCCCTTGAGCTCTGGTCTTCCCTATGTCTGCCTCATGTCTTGGGGGTTGGGTTGGGTCTTCGATCCTCCACAGTCAATATTAAATATTCCATTGGAGAAATCTTGTATATACACGCATGTTCACAACCGCTCACAAACAGGTGTTCTGATCCAGGGGTTCTGACTGGTCACTGAGTGTGTATATACTGTATGTCTGTGTATATATATCTACAATATGTAAGAATGTAGGCATGTATGTATGTATATCTTTACATACTGTATGTATGAGTATGTGTATATATTTATATATGCCATCCATGTATTTATCCATTTATTTTTAGGTGAATGTACAGATGTTGGGTGTGTGATCCTATGTTTTCTTGGTGTATATTTAATATACTTCTAATCTCTATTTCAGTCTTTCTAATTACTACTTTGTTTTCCCCTCTCTCTATTTTCTCTTTACTTAAAAAAATCACTGATGAAGAAATTAATATTAAGTTCTTTTTTCTACTGAAGTGATTTTAAAAAAATTGTAAACTACAGTAAGTGGCCGAGTGGCTGGGTGTATGTCATATAAACATCACAAACTGAACATTTCATGGTTAAATGTCTTTTAGACTGCACATGTCCCTCAGATGGACAACACTTGTTTGGTCTTCTGGATTTTTGGCTTTGGTAAAACCAGCTTTCCACACTCTCCAGACCAAGCAGCAAATATCTGTCTTTTGCACAGAGCAAAATAACAAAACATACAAATGTTTTATTTGTTAGACTGATTTATTTTTAAAAGACTATTTTATTCAAAAAGATGTTATTTAGATGGTTTGTGTTACGGTTTGTTCTCTTAGCTCTGAGTAAATACCGAACAAAGTCAAAGTTTTAACATGTTTATTGTTAGTAATTTCAGCTGGAAGGTTGGGACCGGACTCCGTGGTCGTCAGTTCTGGACACAGAAGCTTTGGGTTAGGTTGAYTCGAGAAAACAATTTTATTTGTGAAAATAAAGTGAGACACCAATCTCTCCTTCTGAGATGAAGTCCAGGTAGAAACAGCTGATGTGTTTTGGTTCCGGGCTGTGTTGTCACGGGGAGCGATAATATCGCTGGACTTACTCGAGGTCAGAAAAGGGGCAAGGGTCATACACAGGTGGTCAGAGGACGTTACCAGGTTTGGAGGAGATGGCTGAGTCGTTCGTCCAGAGATGCGTTCAGGGGTCGAGATCCAGGAAGTCCGATGTGGTGTGGTTCTGTTCAGGGAGCAGGCGAGTGACAATAACCCAAGTGACAGAAAAAAGGTGGTTACTGTGTGAGCAGATGGCAGGCAGGATCCGACAAAGGCTGAAGCAGGAGATGACAAACTCAAGGCAAGAGCTGGACAAGGGACAAGAACGCTGGAAGATCATAGACTAGGCTGATGATTATCTGGCGGGGGACTGGAGAGTGAGACTGGATAATATACTGCTGGAAACAGGTGAGTGAAATGAGCTTGATTAGAGTTTCTATGACGGGAGGGGCAAGAGCAATGAGCAGGAGCTGGATGTGAGCTGGGATGAACTAGAACTGAGACATGAACAGGTCAGACAGGGACAGAA